ATATTATTAGTATATATACATTATATATATATATATATATATATATATATATATTAGCTTTATAATTTCGCTATTAAATTAATGAAAATTATCGATCTAATTAACATTTGATTAATATTGCAGATAACATTATTTCTTATAAAGACTTTGAAACAATCATTGGTACAAAAATTATTAATAGAAAGACCAGATCCAGTGAATATATATATACATTATCTTTATATAAGGTTGCAAACAAATGAAATAACTGATATTTTGACGTATGTGATTTCTATGATATATAACACAGTGCAATATCATCTTGCAATATGAATGTGAATAGTCATTTTTTAACATATTTTTGCCTATTGACAACACGAATGTTATCCAAATTTGATTATCACTCGAGGCTAAAAATAATTTTGAGGATCTTCATGATGTAAAATCAACTTTTTTCCTGAATTTTAATAACACGCGAAAGAATTCATTTCGATATGATTTTTCATTTTCGAGATATAATTATAAATAGGCATTTATTTCATAATTATGAGGTATCGAAAAAAAAATTATGAGATATATCAAAATAAATCAAAGTGTATTTTAAAATTAGAAGTTAATACTTTTGTGTGTCATTAGCAAATTTTATAAAAAAATTTAAATACGACATAAAAATCTTCAAAATTTGAATTGACCATTTTTGACTTCTTCAACACTATTTTTTTCAAAATTATAAGGTTATAAGGACAGCTAAATTTTGATAACAGATTCGTGTTTAACAGGAAAAAAAAAAATGCACCGAAAATGATTTATACGCGATGAAAGAAAAAGTTGAATTTTGTCGGACAATGTGTATTACATGAGAAAGCTATTTTTAAGTATTGTGCATGTGTGTGCGCGCGCGCGTGCGTGTGTATGTGTGTGTGTTTCAAAAATGAAAAATCGAAACGAACTAAAGTGCATTTTAAAGCTAAAAATTAATACTTTTGCGTGTCATTTTTAAAATTTAGAAAACAATCTGGTATCGGAATTACATTATGAAAATCTCCAAAATCATTTTTAGTCTCTTTAACACCATTTTTCTCAAAATTATGATAGCCAAATTTCGATAATAGATTCATATTTAATAAACAAAAATACATGACTGTGAAATAATTATTCGCATTCATTAAAAAGGTTAATTTTGGACAGTGTAATTAGTAATAATGCGATAATATATTAATTCTTTTTTGGCATACTCTTTTGTTGCTTTGACATATTGACATATGAGACCTATTAATTTTTCTGATATGTTTATATTTAAATATCAATAAATGATTTGTTTAATATTCAAATGTCAATTTTAAACGTAGAAAAGATGATTAAAGTGTATATTTACTTTTTTAAATCTTTTCTTTACAAATTAGAGTTTTAACATATAGAAAGAGATAATGCTTAAGAGTATTATTAGATATTTTTTGCTTAGGTCAATTCGATCTATGTGCGCAATGATTTGCTAGTATCTGCTCTTTCTTATATCTGACATTTGCAGGATGCTGGGCTATTCCTCGGTTGCTGCTGTAAGTATTATTGCAAATTTACCAAAAATTGATTATTGCAAACTTTACCAAATTATTGATAAAATGAAATTACAAATTCATTTATTATGATTAATTACAGATGAAGAATCTACATATAATAATAAAAAATACAAAAGATCCAAATAGATTATTGCAAAAGCTTCACAATTGTCATAAGGCATTTTTCACTATGTCGCTTGATTGCAAAGAAACTGTATTTTTGGAATCTTATATTAACTTGCTAGGTATATTTATCTCTTATGTTATATATGATAAATTACATTATTTAGGTCGTAAATTGTTATAAATTAGAATGGCAGATAATGATCAAAAAAAAGGACAATAATGAACTCCTGTTGAATTCTTCTGTTCTGGAATCTCTGCGTTATGCGTGCAAATACCATTGCGATACACCAGAAAATTTTGTTATAATATCGCCCATAACGCTCTCTCGAGACCATAATATTTCTCCCAAACTGTATCAAAAAGTCGCTTTACAAGTTAAAGCTGCCTGTGGTAGATGGGATGATATTGATCGTTTACTTTTAACAAAAGTAACGTATTTTATTTTGTAAATCTATTTATTTATTCTATCAAAATTATATCAATTACATTTTAGGGAATACTTGGTAATACAAAGTTACAAACATATTTATATATAGAAGATATTTTGAAAGTATTATATCAACATAACGCGCCTCATGTCATTCTTGAAAAATATCTGAAATTTGTTGATAATTTAGAAAAGCGATTGGAATTGGCAAAAAAATTATTTTGCCACATAATAGTAATTGATGTACGTACATACAATTTTATAATAAAAGATGAGACAAAGGAAAATGATACAGAATTACACAATGATACATACTTTTATACATTTCTAGATATTTGTACAACAAGGAGATCGTGCAATGCTAATAGATTATAAAGCAAAATTACAACCTCAATCAGAAGAATATTTTTATGTTGAAAGCGCTTTGCGTTTGCCAAACATTAAATGGAAGAATTAAACTTATTGTAATGATGAAAAATTTATATTCTATTAAATATATTCTATTTTCAATTATGGAAAATTAAAAACGTGCGCGCGCGCGCGCACACACACACACACAACAAAATTTCAGAGTTATATAACTAATAAATTACACATCTTATAAACGATTTGTGTTATTTTTTTCTAGAATTTATATCGGATATTAAAAATATATATCTTTCAACACGTTTTGAAATGCGGAAAGCATACGATCATCAAGCCAAATAAATTCACATATAAACAAGAATAAGACAAAGTCCTGTAAATATAGAATCTCACTAAATTCAATGAAGTTGTATAGCGCTGATATTTTAATTTTGCTGAAATAATGACAGTTATATAATTTTTTAAACTATTAGAGATAATTTTGTTATTTAATATGGAAAGATTATGATAGCTATTATATAAATAACATTATATTTATTATAAAGGCTTTATAGCAAAATGTCCGATTTGTGATTTAAAAATAATGTTTCAATCTCTATCTGTCCTAAGTGATGTCAATAAGACAATAACTGTCTTAATTGATATTGAACTGACGAGCAAACTCCGAGCATTCACACATATGTGCATATTTAACATGGAGATTTATTGTGTACACACACTGCGCGCGCGCGCGCGCACGCACACACACACACACACACACACACACACACACACCATATATTTCTGGAACACACATGGACAAATTTTAGTATTGTCCTTTTGTATTACATTAGGTATCTGACCTAATTCTAAGAACTCGACGTTGTTTTTTTATGTAATCTTCTAGTTTAGCAATATCAGTTTTGTAGATACAGGCTGCAAAATTTTTATATAAAGCAAATATTGACGCGATTTGACAGCTCTGGACGCCATATTAAAGTACCGATTGATGAAAAAGATCCAAATTATAAAAAATTTTTCTTGTTTGTTTCTTAATATGAAATTCACATACTAAACACACATTATTACATAAATTTAAAAGGAAAAGATTTCCAAATCTACAAAATTAATAAAAAATTAAGAGCAATACGAAAATTACTGCATTCTGTCGGCAAATACAGGCAAATTCAACATCCCCTTAGAAATATATGTTTAGATTTATTAGTGATTGTGTGTATGCGCGTGCGTCGTGTATATACATATTTATAATTTGTTTTAATAATTAACATTTCCGTTGTTCTCATAATACAGTATATATTTTGCTACTTTAACTGTTTTAAGAACAAAATCGCAACTTTATATAAATTTGATAAAATGATTAGTTGACGAACACGAACAAAAACATAAAAATATTTAGAGAATAGACAATATATAGAATAATATATAATGTATATTAATTTTAAATGTATTCTCAAATATTTAACTACGATTAGCACGATTACCCCATCCGCGACGATGCACGTCTTTATATTCATCCATTGAACGTGCCTGTTCGAGATATTCGGGATCATCTTTTTCTTCCATTTCCTCTTTCAAAATGATTTCGTTATCTTCATCATTTGTACCTTTGTTTGTCATGTCTTGCAGACATCGAGAACTTGTTGTATTATGTTGCAATGGATCGGGCCAACTGAAACAATATTGTCACTTTAAAATATTAATTTTTTTACAAATTCAGTTTCAATAACAATGACATTTGTTAAACATAATGTTCGCTTACTCTCCATCCTTAACCCTTTGTTCGTAAAACTCCTGAACAGTTAAAACTGGTAAACTTGGATAGCCTGCTCCAAAGACTTTCTTTTGTACTTCATCACGTGTAATAATAATAGGTTGCAATTTTGAAATTGATGATTTTTGCTTCGAAGTTTTTTGTGATTCAGAAGTCGAGGTACACATCGATCCAATTTCCTTCATATTTTCCAAAATCGTTTTTCTGTATTCAAAAAATTCAATTCATCAATAATTTGAACTGCATATAATCTTAAAAGAGTAATAAAATATTCTCTCTTGATTTCGTCATCAATATTTGGATTGTCTAGATTTTTCTTTAAAGTGTCCAAATGAGATTCCAAATCTTTTTCCTGTTTATATCTTTGTAGCTTTGTATTTCTACGAATTACCTGAAACAGATTTACTGTTAAAATAATTATACTTTTTAAGAATTTGCAATAACTATATGGAATAAAAAGTTAACCATATCTTCCAACATCGTTGATTTTTTAACATCTTTTATCTCCTTTTCTTCTGTTAGATTTATCTCTGGTATCTCAACATTAGTTAAACCATATACTTTTAATCGTTTCAGAAAGTCTATAAAATAGATTTCTGCTATTTTAATAAGATGCATTCTATCATCAATATTACATATCTTCATGGTAAGTTTGCCCAACAGAGCTGGTAGCAAAAAATATTTGAGATTTTCTGTTGCTATTTCCTCAAAAGTTTCATTGTTGCTAAACATATCTACTACAGATACCAGTCTTGTTGCATCCTCAAACATACGCATTGCCCGTTTTATATCATACTATTATAAATAAGAAAAAAATAAAAATAATAAGAAATATTAATCTTTATTACAAGAGATAAATTCCATTTCATTTTGAAGTAAATTTTGTATAATACAAATAGGTTTTAAAATTTCACCTGTACTTTTGAACTGTTTATTGGTTCCTGGGTATTATTAATACTGTTAAACAGCTCGAAAGCATTATCAAATAATTCCGACAAAGGAGGATCGTTTTTCTCTTTCTCGAAACTTAAATCTTTTGACAATATCCCTTTTTCCATTATTATTGCCTGAATATTAACTAACACATCTATATACTATACGATGGTATAATGTTGTTAAATGAATCTGTGGTATATAACCACAAGATTGGATTCAAAAATATTGGATGTAGCATTTTATTCTTAAGCCTTGTCCACGATGGTAGAAATCAGTCTCAGATCTCGGATGGAAAGAGAATTGACCAATCACATTGGCCGAATTATTCAAACGCAATTGATCAATTCTCTTTTCATCTGAAATCTCGGATCAATTTCTAGCATCGTGGACATAAGATTTTATTGTCATTGAATTATTAAACAAGGATAAAATAATATCTAGATAATAATATCTAAATCATAAGTATTCATAGTCGATTCTTATTTTAACACCAAGTAATATATTAAGGCTGCGTTCTAATATTCACTACCACTGAAAATATATAGTTCAGGTCACGTATATTATAGATTTTCAGTACTTGCAGTGAATATCGGAACGCAGCTTAAGTAATATATTAAAGCCACATTGCGATTGACTACAGCCACTCACAGCGGCCGGTGCCTAGAAGTTTTCCTCTATTCAAACGCTGTGAGTGGCTGGTAGTCAATTGCAATGTCAAACAGGCCTCACCCGGATTTGAATGCTTGCTGAGCTCTTGTCTTTGATTGGTATATTTTTTTAGATCTAAAAAAATATACTATTCGAAAACAAGAGCTGAGCAAGGATGCAAATCCAGCTAGCAAACCAGCAAGAAAAAAAGCATCGCATGCTGCTGACTTTATTTGTCAAAGTGGATCAATCAATAAAATAATTTTATTTTAAGTTGGCCAATCGGCAACGTGGGCAATCGAGTGCCACCTCTCTGGCGATTATCTTCTATGGATCTGAATAGGAGTAGATTTTCAGATTACCACCTTCTTATCTTCGCAGGATAAGGTCCAATCGTAAAAGTTTTGTTTAGACAAAAGTTGTAGGATTTAAAAAGATCACATTAAAGATTGAAACGTTTGCAGAATAGGAATTAAGAATAGGAATTTTTGTGTAAACAATATTA